CAGGAGACAGAGCGAGGGGGGGAGGGATAGAGAGACCCATTAGACAGAGAGAGGGGGAGGGGGGAGGGATAGAGAGACACCAGAGAGAGAGAGAGAGGGGGGAGGGGGGAGGGATAGAGAGACACCAGGAGACAGAGAGAGGGGGAGGGGGGAGGGATAGAGAGACACAGGAGACAGAGAGAGGGGGGAGGGGGGAGGGATAGAGAGACACCAGGAGAGAGAGAGAGGGGGGAGGATAGAGAGACACCAGGAGACAGAGAGAGAGGGGGGAGGGATAGAGAGACACAGGAGACAGAGAGAGAGGGGGGAGGGGGAGGGATAGAGAGACACCAGGAGACAGAGAGAGGCTTCACTCTCTTATATTGCGAGCAGTCACAAGGTTTCACAGTAGGTTTCAAGTAAAACAGTAAAGTCCTGCAAGTACACAAGTAACAGCATCAGAAGATACTTCGAGTAGAAGCACCTGTTCTGTCCAGAATGGATCACTGATCAGTAATGTGTGTTCTATAGTGCTGCAGCTGCTGAAGGTGGCGCTCATTTCATTTCTTCACACAGTGTGGGAATTTCATCCCAGGGATCCCTCATCACCACTTTTTCATACGTTATATACAGGTCCATAAACTGTTTTAAAAGAAGGGGCGTGGCCACCGTGATGTCACCCGTTGGTTTATGGAACGCCATTCTGACGCCTTGAATTCTGTATTTGGCCGTCGCCATTTTGGTTTTTTGGAACAGAAGTGAGCAAAAATGGACGCGAGGGTGGCAGGGGGGGAGTGAGGCGTGACGTAGCATGAATTTGATCTTTGTCCAACCGAACGCTGAACGGACGTTTGATGAAGTGAAAACAGACGAGGGTCGAAGCTTGAGTGGAAACACGAGGTCATGGCGTGGTTAAATGTACATGGTCGAGGTCTGTCAATCAGCTTGTAGCCCGCCCTAAAGCTCCCTGCTTCCTGGTCTCTGTTCCTCTAAATGGGACCATAATTTACTAAATGAACATCATGCTGTGTTGAAGAAGACTTAAAACTAGCGACTGAGACTCTTCAGGAAGTTTAATGTTTCATTCATTTTAAATTAAAGTGGATCTTAATTTTTCCAGACAGAAATTAGAAATGATTCCTGCTGACTCACCTGGATGAGCTCTGTGTTTCTGTGAATTTAAAAACAAGACAGAATCTTCCTACAGAAAGACTGTTGGACAAAATGTGGTCAGTGTTTCCCTCGGTCATGTGGTCCGTCTGATGCTCTCCTCAGGTTTGGGGAGTCATGACGTCAGGAGGAGACGTCTTCCTTCAGGAGGTTTTTTCAGTACGTGGAGGACAGCGGCCTTCGAACATACGACGGTCTGGTGATCCAAAATGCCTCCGACATCGCCAGGAGAGAGCGACCGCATTCGTAACCAGACCAACTGGACTACCTGCAGGAGAAACACCAGAAGAAGAGACGACAGGACGAAGCCATCAAGAGGTAAAAACACAGAAAACCTTAAAAATGCAGAAAGAAATGTTGCATAAGTATATGCAGTTGTAGCTGGGTAGAGCGTTTCTGTTGGGTCAGTCTGTTTTTCATATGCGCTGGTTATTAAATGAGGCCCCTGAACCTGAACATAATCCCAGTCAGATTGACATTAAGAGAAGCTGCAGTTTGTCTTGCTTTACTGCTGAACAAAAAGGGAGTCACAATGTCACTACCACGATTTAAATAAATGTAAAGATGGAGGAAAAAGCTCAACAACATACGTACTCAAGATGGTGGTACGAGTGCATCACGAGGCTCGGCGTCTTACCAGATTTTAAAAATAGTGGTAGTTTTTCAGGTTACTTCCTGCGTGTTTCCCCAATTTAGTTGTGCGAGCTTCACTTACAGCGAACAGTCACTTCGGACCTCAACCATCGGTTCTCCAACAGAGTTTGGACTATCTTTCAATTCCACTCCAAAGCTACAGAGAACACAGTGTTGGCGACCGTGAACAAAGATGGGTGCTAAGCTAGAGATAAACCCACACAGGAAAGCTCCAGCCGGCAACTTCCTCACCAACCCACGGTCTCTGGTGAACAAGCTGAAGATCTGGTCCCTCACACAGAGAAGGCTTCATGTTCTTCACGGAGACCTGTAAAATGGTGAATCTGGAACTATCTTCAGGGCCGACAGAGTAGCAGCAGCAGCGTATTTACGTAAATGAAACATGGTGCATGCACTCTATGATGGTTGGTGCCCACTGCTCTGCCAGTCTGGAGTACCTCATCATTAAAAGCAGGCCTACTGCGCAAGTTTACTTTCATTGTTGCTGTTGCAGCTTATGTACCTCCAGATGCTACTGCTGAAGTAGCTATGAAAGAACTTCGTTGTCAGAGGTAACTTTAATCAGGTTAACAGAGAAAGTAAGAAGGCTTCAGTCCAGTGGAACAGTGTCGTTAGTATCAACTGTTTAGGTTTGTCACATCAACACAAGGCTTGTGTGTAGTTTATAAATGTTGTGTGATTGGTTGATGATTGTACAACACTGACGTGTCTTTCTATTGGTCCATCCAGGATTGGTGAAGATGTTGCCATGGCAACAGACGGGGCATATTCTGGGAAACATTCAGGATGGGTTTCATGACAATGCCGGCACCACAGGACCGCCTGCCTCCCCCGAGTCAGGGCTTTACTGTCCGATCCCAGTCCCTCCACTCCGTGGGCGGAGGAGACGACGACTCCAACCACAACCGAAAACAACCACCGCCCAAACCCAAGAGAGACCCAACACCAAACTGAGCAGCAGCTCTGAAACGGTGAACGGAGGGCCCGGGGTCACCAAGAGGGACACCCAAGACACCAAAGAGACGCCAGAGCAGGCTGAAGGTGAGAACACAAAACCTGCTGGTTAAACCCGATACCTGCTGGTTAAACCTGACACCTGCTGGTTAAACCAGACACCTGCTGGTTAAACCGGTTAAACCTGACACCTGCTGGTTAAACCAGACACCTGCTAGTTAAATTTGACACCTGCCGGTTAAACCTGCCACCTGCCGGTTACACCTGCCACCTGCCAGTTAAACCTGACACCTGCTGGTTAAACCTGACACCTGCTGGTTAAACCCGATACCTGCTGGTTAAACCTGACACCTGTTGGTTAAACCGGTTAAACCTGACACCTGCTGGTTAAACCAGATACCTGCCAGTTAAACCAGTTAAACCTGACACCTGCTGGTTAAACCTGCCATCTATCAGTTAAACCTGACACCTGCCGGTTAAACCTGACACCTGTTGGTTAAACCAGACACCTGCTGGTTAAACCAGACACCTGCTGGTTAAACCTGACACCTGCTGGTTAAACCGGTTAAACCAGACACCTGTTGGTTAAACAGGTTAAACTTGACACCTGCTGGTTATACCGATTAAATCTGACACCTGCTGGTTAAACCGGTTAAACCAGACACCTGTTGGTTAAACAGGTTAAACTTGACACCTGCTGGTTATACCGATTAAATCTGACACCTGCTGGTTAAACCAGACACCTGTTGGTTAAACAGGTTAAACTTGACACCTGCTGGTTATACCGATTAAATCTGACACCTGCCGGTTAAACCAGACACCTGCCAGTTAAACCAGACACCTGCTGGTTAAACCAGACACCTGCTGGTTAAACCTGACACCTGCTGGTTAAACCGGTTAAACCAGACACCTGTTGGTTAAACAGGTTAAACTTGACACCTGCTGGTTATACCGATTAAATCTGACACCTGCTG